AGGTCAAAACAAATCATAGAAACAATTAAAATTTTTATTTAAGATGAAAACAATGAGACAAAAATGTAAAAACTTTTGGGATTTAGCCAAAGTCATCCTTAGGGGAAAAAATCTGCATTTATAAATGCTTTCATCAATAAAAGAGAGAAAGAGCAGATCAAATTGAACATACAACTACTTTCCCAATTCCTGCAACCTCCTCTCCTCTATGATTGCAGGACTGGAGGACAGAGCACTAAATTCCTCCCAAAGTTTTCCTTTAAAGAAGTCTGTAATATGGACTTCCCAGCTAACTCTCCACTTAGCATCTGCAGCTCTGCTTGAATTGAATTCCATGGAACATGATGCCCTCTCACTCCCTCTCCCCTCACTTTTCCAGCTTTCTTTTGTGTGTTGTCTTCCCCTGTTAGATTGTGAGCTCTTTGAGGGCAGGTACTGTCTTTCTTTTTCTTATTTGTATCACTTTATATCGGTGCTCAGTACAGTGTTAAGCACATAGTAAATGCTTAATGTTTATCAAATTGAATAATTGGAAAACCAACAAATTAAACAATCTCGAAAAACAAATAGATTGTAGACTTTATGAAAACACTGTCCTGTTGAGATTGTAATTTCTGAATCTTTCACCTAAATCTATATTTAAAAATATTTGTGTAACAAATCTTAGCAATTCTAAACGAGTGCAATATCAAGCACTGTTTTAACATCTAGACATGTACAGAATAGCAATTATAACCAGTAGTTAAATGTTCTTGATATTTTCCATATTTAAGTTGTTAAAATTGTTTTCTAGTGATCTGAATGTCATGATGAACATTTCTACAATGTGAAGCTTTAGTATTACTAAGTATATTGAAATATTATTGTTTGGTACAGCCAGAGAAATAAAAAAAAAAGGAATACCTGAACATGATTTGATGAATAACATGTTAAGAGTTAAATCTAATCTATTTGTTTTCAAAATATATAGAAACTACATAATACAGTATTAAATATGATTTTTAGAAGAACCAGTTTATTAATAGTTTACATCAAAAGCATAAACTCCATTTATACACCAAACTCAAATCTGATGGGAAAAAAAAACTAACAATCAAGATGATTATTGAAAAATGTACTGTACTCACAATTGACAGAGACTAAACAGATTTGTTCAATAAACAGGAATGTAATAATGGCTATAAATTTTCAAATGAAAATGAAAACACTTTTATTTTTACAATAATGAATGGATACTATAGACTTGTCTCTATAAAATATCTGACAAAATCAGAGGTTCACCTAGTCTCCATCCATATAGACATATTAAGGCTTCCTTTGAATTTCTAGAAAGCCTTTTCCCACCATGATACCTTTAACAATGGCTTTTGAAATGAGTTCCTAGTATTATTTATAATATTCTAAAGTTATATCATCAAAAGACACTGATCAACTCAAAACTATGATGCATTATGATCTTTGCATACCAGTCTCACTTTTTTTTTCAACAATTCTGAAAACTGTCACCACCATTTCTCAAATGCATTATGATATGTCAGACAATAATGGGTAAGTATGGGCATCCATTTCCCAAAGTTCCCAACTGCTTCTTCACTGGTCTTTAATCAAGTCTTTCATTGGTTTATAAAAAAAAAGTACCATCAACACACTACATGATCAAGTCATTTTAGCCTAAGCCTTTTTTAAACATTCAATATTACAGAAGTTGTGATACAATTGATGAAAAAATCAGAATTGCTGGCATTACTTTTCCTTCCCACAAAAATACATAAAAATGGACAACACATTAAATAAACATTTGTTATTAATAGTTAGAAATATTAACACCAAAAATCATGTATAAATTAGGAAATAAATGTATAAACCATTTTCCAAAGTGCTCTTTTAAATATATACACAACATTCAAGAAATTCTTAATGTAAGACATTTCAGACTGGTATAGTAGTGGTAATATGTTTTTTAAATGTCCTTTTCTCTCAAAAGTATTGTTTCAGCACTTAAAAAATGTACATAAGAGGCATATTTCCATGCTGGCAAGAAGCAAAATAAATTGCATCTTCTTTGCTATCTAAATCTTTAAATATTTTCAATGGGAATTTTCAAATTGGTTGTATTAGAATTGTGATGAAGGGAAAGAAATGACAAAACCACAGGGAACAGATCCCTTAAATTCAATTGCTCATATCACTTTTAGCAATTAAGAACTGTTAATTCAGCAATGGCAAAGTTCAAGTAACATTTAATACAAATAACGTTAAAGCAAACAAAAAACAACCTATAAGGGAAGAGATTTCTAGAAAACAGAGTTGACTAAAGATAGAAATGGAGTGAAATCTGAGGTGATTAGTTCCTAGTCACAAGAGGTGTTCAGGTAAGTATTAGATAACTATCTGACAAAGAGTTGAAAAGAAGATCCCAACTTTGTGTGGAGGTTAGTCTCTGGGATCTGTTACCTTTCTGAGATTTAATGAGCATGAAAGAAATGGGTGAGGTGGTGCAAAGCCTTTAAAAGTAAAATGGAAGGGATAGGAATGGCAGCTATAATGGGTAATAAGTATGGCTGAAAAAGTGCAAGTTACTGGCTTGTCACAAACCCAAAAGGATTTCCCAGTGTTGTGAAGCAGCTATGGGCTGTAATGACTGGAAGCATAGTACAGGAGGAAGAATACCTGATTTTGAGTTCCTTCTATCTTTAAGTCATAAGATATCAAAAGATCAAAAAAAAAAAAAAAAGAAAGAAAGAAAGAAAGAAAAAAGACTAAGTAAGTGCTTTTAAACCTGATCTGCTAACATGCTAGCCCCAGAGGAGTGATGAAATAAACTCAGTAAACCAATACCTTAAGATTTGTAGAATGCTTTAGTTCTCAAAGCTGATGATATCTATTTGTTATAAATAGTTTATACCTACCAATTACTTCAACTTATACTGAAGCTGAGTTGTATACAACTGTATATAACCTACACTGCAGAGGTAACACAATGGAGAACTGGAGGTACTACTACTAGAAAATCTAGTGAGTGTAATGAAAAGAGGCCAAGAGTGGGGGGAACTTTTAAGAAGAACTATACTATTTTGTGCCCCTAGATCTACCAAGGACGATATGAGATTTGGGATGGGAAAAAAAAGCAATCTTCTCCTTATTTTATCATACGGTTCCAAGCAATAAATGACTATTTGCCAATCAATTTTATCAATTGACATTGTATTTGTTGGTTGGTTGAGAGGCAGTGAAGTACAATAGGAAAGACACTGGTCTGGGAGTCAGAAGACTTAGCTTATACTTCCTGTTCTGCCACTAACTAGTTGTGTGATCTAAGGCAAGTCATTTCTCTTCTTTGGGCCCTCAGTTTCTCCATCTGGAAAGTAAGGGAGCTAGATTAGGTGTCCCTTCTAAGATTCTTTCTAGTTCTAAAATTCTGTGATCCCAATCCACTGTTATTTTAAGGGAAGAAAGCAAATGTATATGCCTCGATAAGTTATATCTATTTTTCTACTGTTGAGTTTTCAAAATATAAAACCTGTAACAACAATAATAAAAAAGACTATCTCCACCAGAATTAACACATATAAAAAAAGATGACATTTCCTTCAGGTTATATTTTGTTCTACTACAAAGATTTGTATTTAGTTGAAGTATTTTCCCCAAGTTCTTTTTATTTTCCTGTTAAATAAAAGTGTTATTATCCAAGTAAAGTCCGATCACATCTCAAACATATAGGACATTAGAAATCTATTCAAGTTTTTCCTTTAATAAAATTGCTCAAAATGAGTAACTCTGTATTGTACACACAGATTTCAAGATCTCTTCACTTAGAAACTAAGCTAGCTATAATTCACCATATAAACTTTCACAAATTTCTACTTTTCAATATGTTCACAGTAGAATATGAACTGCCAAAGGCGGAATATTTATTCTCTTTTTTTTCTGCCTAACCTGTATTTCAAATAAGTCAAGTTCCTGTAGGAAAAGGGGGCAAAATAAACTTAGCCCAGAAATACATCTTATTTATGACTACAAAATTTGCATGGAGATCTGAACTACCCTGGAAGAAATAATATACAAGGAATCAACTAACCACTTGACAAGGAAAATTTGGCATTAAAATTTAAAAGTATCTATAAATGTAGATCTGGCACATTAAAAATTCAAATGCCAGAAATGTTTTATTAGGTAAACACATAACAAAGCAATATTAATTTCTAATGAACCAATCCCCAAAGAATTCTCTTTTCTTTCCATTCATACCATATTCCTCAATTTATATTGTTCACTAAGATACCTCTATGGAGTCAGACAATTTTGAATAAATGATCCCTCTTTACCTTTTAATACAAAAATGTAGATCTTTTCAGATAGACTGAACCAGAATGAGACATGGGCAGTTAGTAAGCGCTGGAAACTATTGTTCATAATATCTCCAGTAAATGAAATTTGTTTTTCACTGTGTAGCATGGAAATTGACATACCAGAAAAAATGCCCCTGCCCTTAAAGTAGTATAGGTAAGAGGAATATATTTCAGAAGCAATCATAAACCATGGACAAACTGCATTGCATTCAGTTAAACAGAGGTTCCTAACCTACATTAGGATGGATAGAGAAATTAGACCTAAGGTCAGTTTGTATAAATACATGGATTGCAGGATATCCTAGATGTTTCCCATAACTAGGCACAAAAAAACTCTGATGATAAAATGACCCCTAAAGCTATTTAGAAACATCAAGAATGGGAAGAAGAGGAAAGAGAAAAAAAAAAAGTTGCATTATAGCAACATACAATACTATACACAGCACCAAATATATCAGACCATTAAAGCATTGTCTTTTTACCAGTATAGTGCACTGCTTCATCACCGGCATGAAATGAACACTGTTCACATACAGACGCTGCTTTGTGCTAAGGGGTAACCAACATATTACGATTAGTCAAAACCTTCTGTACACCAAGTTCCAAAGATGGACATAGTACTGAAATGAATCCAACAAAGAAGCTTGTCCCTTATTGCTGATAATTCCCATACTGGCCCTAAAAGAGAACGTTAATAAGATTATATTTTTGTGGTTAATAATGTTATATTTTTGTTAATAAGGTTATATATTTTATGGAAAGAGGGTATATGTCCCTAACTAAGATGGATTCCAAGATCTAGGGCACAAAAAATGCCCAAGTCAGGTAAGAAATATTCTATTTGACTGAAAGGTAATCAAAATTTATACAATGTACATGAGATTAGCTATTAAAAGAATTTTCCCAGAAATAATCTGTCCTATAACGTGGTTTAGAGACATGTTATCAATTAGGTTGAAGTGTCACCTGAAGGCTGGCAACCTAAAATATAATCACTGCAAAATGTTTTGCAAACTTGGAAATTGTAGCCTCTTATGAAAAGATATTGAAATGAGAAAAAGCAAGAGCACATAGAGGGCTCTGGTGGACTGATAGAGAATAAGAATTTGTCAGTGTGTATTCTGCAGGCTCTAAGTGAGACTGTATCCTGGTGAGCTGACTCAATTATCTGGTTAGCAGAAAAGAGTAACTATCAGGCTATCACAGCTTGATGAAAATAGCCCTTATGATAATTTAACTTCTGTCTAGACTGTATATTCACCAAACCACCTTCTAATTATTAATCAGGTTTCCCAGGCATTTTGTACCAGAAGGAGGGATGTTCTGATGGGTTGGCCTGAATAAACAGCCTGTAATTTCCTTTTCTAAATCATTGGGCTGACATTCTGGCTTAGAAATCATTATATTATAAATTTGTTTGGTGTGAATCTTTTAGGGACTGAATACCCTGGAAAAAACTGATAAAATTGCTCCCTATGCCTGGCCTTCTGTTCCTCCTCACCACCACCTCATGACTTCCCTGGCTTCTTTCAAGTCCCAACTAAAATCTAACATTATAGAAGAATCCTTTCCTAATATCCTTCAATACTAATCGTTCCCTCTGCTGATTATCTGAAATTAATCCTGTATATGTCTTGTTTGCATGTAATCATTTGCCTGCTGACTCCTCCTTTACACTAGGAGCTCCCTGAGAGCATAGACTGTTTTTTGCATTTCTTTGTATCTTTAGCACAATGTCTGACACGTAGTAGATGCTTAATAAATGCCTGTTGACTGACCAATTAAAATGGAATGTTAGATACCGGAACGCAGAGATAAGAGTGATCCTTGAAGCCTAAAACAGCTTTCAAGACTTTTTCTTATAGTCTTCTTGTCTTTGAAAGAGTAAAATCATAATTCTTAAACAAAGACTAAATTAATATTCATAGGATGCCAGGTAGACATTAGTTACCTTAAAATCTATTTATTTCTATTGCTCCTCTTAATAAATTAGTACATGGAACTCTGATACAATTTTAGTAATAATTCTATAAGAGGTTTAGGAATATAAGCTCAATGTGGATATTTGTTTTAATTGAATATGCATATTTGTTATAAGGGTTTTGTTTTTATTTCTTTTCATTTGGGAAGAAAACAAATGCCTGTCAATTAAAAATAAAATGTAATTTTTAAAAGAACATAAGCTCCTTGAAGTTTGAAACTGTTTTATTTTAGAGCTTCATATTCCTAGTTTCAAGCACAGGTTTTTGTACTAAATGGCTGCTTAATAAATGTTGAATTGAACTGAATCATGTGTATTCATTCTACCATAATTAGAAGCAAACAAGTCATTTAGATACTTTAGCCCAGTTTTTCCACTGCAACTGGTCTGCATACTGCCAGTCAATGGCAAATTTCTTCTGGTTTGCAAAACTTAACCAAGAGGTCCTTAGTTTTAAATTTTAAGGCAAAATTCAGAGTTACAATACACTATTTTCCAATTGCAAAACAATGCTTCCATCAGAACTACTACTGGTGTACTTAAGGAACCAAACAAACCTACAAACCTACAAACTTTTCAATGTCAAGGACACATGTTTACCCTTGATTGGTGGCAAAAGGGCACCTTTAGTTTATCTATCAGTTGTAGTCACTCCACTCTAGGGTCTTTAAAGAGCTGCCTGTTGAGAGGATAAATGACTTATTGTGATTCATACCTCCAATGTGTACTAGAGTTAGAGTTTGAACCCAGATCTTTCTGGCCTTATTTCTAGTACCTTTCAAGGTATGGCTATCCGGGGGCAGTGAGAATTGCCAAAAGACATCATGAATACTGAAAATTTCAGAGAAGCTTGCCTGTTCATAACCATAAGGCCTCTGTTGCTGGGCAGATGGTCCTGTCTGAGAAGCTCTATAGCTTCCATACTGTTGTCCCTGTCCCTGTTGGTAGCTGGAATACTGTGAAGAAGCTCCTTGTGCAGGACCTAAGAAAACATGCATGAAAGGTGAATTATTACAAAAATTATACACCATTGTGAAATATCTCATTGGAAAAACAACTGACCTAGAAAATAGATACAGGAGAAAGAATTTAAAAATTATTGGACTATCTGAAAGCCATGATCAAAAAAAGAGCCTAGCCATCATCTTTCAAGAAATTATCAAGGAAAACTGTCCTGATATTTTAGAACCAGAGGGTAAAATAGAAATTGAAAGAATCCACCAATCACCTCTTGAAAGAGATCCCCAAAAGAAAACTCCTAGGAATATTGTAGCCAAATTCCAGAGTTCCCAGGTCAAGGAGAAAATATTGCAAGCAGCCAGAAGGAAACAATTCAAGTATTGTGGAAACACAATCAGGATAACACAAGATTTAGCAGCTTCTACATTAAGGGACCTCAGGGTTTGGAATATAACATTCCCAAGGGCAAAGGAGATAGGATTACAACCAAGAATCACCTACCCAGCAAAACTGAGTATGATCCTTCAGGGAAAAAAATGGACATTCAGTGAAATAGAGGACTTTTAAGCATTCCTGCTGAAAAGACCAGAGCTGAATAGAAAATTTGACTTTCAAATATAAGACTCAAGAGAAACATGAAGAGGTAAACAGGAAAGAGAAATCATAAGGGATTTATTAAGGTTGAACTGTTTACATTCCTACATGGAAAGATGATATTTGTAACTCATGAGCCCTTTGTCAGTATTAGGGTAGTTGGAGGGAAAAATTATATGTATGTATATATAGATAGATAGATACATAGAGGGCATAGGGTGAGTTGAAGATGAAGGGGTGATATCTGGAGAATAAAATTAAGGAGTGAGAGAGGATTATACTGGGAGGAGAAAGGGAAAGGTGGAATGGGGTAAATTATCTCACATAAAACAGATAAGAAAACGCTTTTACAGTGGAAGGGAAGTGGGGGAAGGTGAGAGAGAATGAGTGAATCTTATTCTCATCAGATTTGACTTAAGGAGGGAATAACATACACACCCAATTGGGTATGGAAATCTATCTTACCCTACAGGAAAATGGGGGGAAGGGGACAAGCAAGAAGGGGGATGACAGAGAGGAGGGCAGACTAGAGGAGGGGGTAATCATAAGCAAATACTTCTAAGGAGGGATAGAGTCAAAAGAAAGAATAGAATAAATGTGGGGTAGGATAGGATTAAGGGAAACAGACTTAGTTTTTCACAACATGACCACTGTGGAAGTATTTTGCAAGACTACACATGTATAACCAGAATCGAGTTGCTTCTCTTCTCAATGAGAGTGGGTGGAGAGGGAGGAAGGAAGAAAATTTGGAACCCAAAGTTTTAAAAACAAATGTTAAAAATTGTTTTCACATGCGACTGGGAAATAAGATATACAGGCAATGGAGTATAGAAATCTATACTGCCCTACAGGAAAATTGAAGGGGAAGGAGATAAAAGAAGGGGGGAGAGATAGAAGGGAGGGCAGATTAGGGGAAGGGGTATTCAAAATGCATGCCATCTTGGGGTGGGGGGACAGACAAGATGGGGAGAAAATGTGGAACTCAAAATCTTGTGGAAGTGAATGTTGAAAAATAAAAAATAAATTAATAACAAAAATTATACACCATTAATTTAAATATTCATAAAATACAAGTTAACTTTATTCTCTTAAATCCACAAATTACCCTGAAATCACATACATAATTTTAGAAATTGTCCTCATCCCCATAGCACCAGAAATTATTTCAAACTCTTCTGGTGTTTAAGGGAATGCAAATCATTAAAGTTCAGACAGAATATGTACCAATATTGAAATAACATTGAAGGTATAAATATGAAAATATTTTGATGCCTTGATTCTATTTTTTAGTTGCTGAATTTGCACCATCCAAAACACAGGTGAGGCCTCAGTGATCATTCAGTGAATTGATTCTACTACTGTCTGACAGGAAAAGGCAGTGTGGAAGCTGGAACAGAAGAGCTGGAGCTGAAGAAGGAGAAGGAATTTCAAAGGATGTTTGGATGGTTTTGAAATTCTGAAGAAGACCAGGCAATGAGCTTGGAGTAAAGGCACTGGGTAGGATTTTTGGAGAAGCTGAAAGAGGAGAAGAATCTGAGGAGGAGAGGCAAGAAGATGATAATTCAAACTAGTGAAGAAGAGCCTGGCAAAACAAGATAAGACAAGCGAGTAAGACAAAGAAGAATATGACACTGAAGAGAAAGGGAAGGAGAATGGGACAGCTAGGTGTCACAGTGGATGGGGGGAGGGAAGCAAAGGAAGGAAATAAACATTTACACAGCACCTATAAGGGGGCAATTAGGTAGCACGGTGGATAGAGTACTGGGCTTGGAATCAGGAAGACTCATCTTCATGAGTTCAAATCCAGCCTCTGATAGCCGGGTGACCCTGGGCAAATCACTTAACCCTGTTTGCTTGGTTCCTCATCTGTAAAATGAACTTGAGAAGGAAATGGCAAACCACTCCAGTATCTTTACCAAGAAAACTGCAAAAATAGGGTCACGAAAAGTCAGACACGACTGAATAATAACAGGTTGCTTTACAAATATCTTATTTGATCTTCACAACAACTCTTTGAGTTAAGTGCTGTTATTATCCCATTTTACAGTTGGGGAAACTGAAGCTCAGAGAAGTTAAATGACTTGCCCTGTATTTGGGATCCAGTGCCAAAGCTAAGGGGTCTAGTCCTGATTTGTTAGGCATTTGGCATGCACTGCTTGATAAATTGATATGCTTAGAAGCTCAAATCTCTATTTCTTCAATTGTTCCATCTTTCATTTGCCACTCAGAATAATGCTTTTAAATGCATTAAATAAAATATTTAGGTTTACAAAGGAAACGAATCATATTGAAATATAATTATAAAAATATTTTAAAAAATAAATTCATGGATCCCACGTTAAAAAACCCTGTCATAGGGTTGTCATAGCAACAACACAAGAAGAAAAGTAGTGACATCCAAAAATTCACAGGAGACAAAAATCCAATAAAGAAGCCTGCAATAAAACACAAAGCCTTCAGATATCTGTAAACAAATGCACAAATATGCATAACAGGTCAATTGGAGGTCCCAGTGAAAGAAGGTAAATTTGACCTCATAGTATTATTGAGACTTGGCAGGATAAGATCCACAACTGAAATATGGCTCTGTCATGGCATATTTTATCCAGGAGGAATAAGACTGGTAAAAAGTTGGGAGGAGATAGAGTACTATTATTTATTAAGATTATACTCATTTAAGGAAATATAAATTTTGGAGGAAGAAGTGGGCACAGCATCTCTCTCTCTCTCTCTCTCTTCCTTCCCCTTCTCTCTCCTCTTTCTGTCCAAGCTGGGCAGCTAATACTTTCTTCACTTGCCTTAATGATAACCAAATCCTTCAAAAGTTGGAAGAAACAACAAAGGAAACTACTCCTCTGAATCTGATTCTCACAAACAAGGAAGAACTGGTTGCTGGGTTGGAAATGTTAGTAATTTTACAGAAAAGTGACTACTCCATCTCTAGATTTTAGGAGAGTAGATTTGAAAGATTTCAGAGATAGGATGGGTAGGATCCTGTGGCTTAAGATTTCTACAGGGAAAGTCAGCCCAAGAGGAATTGAGAAGCTCTCAGGAATAAAATCCGGACAATTTGGAATTATTTGGAAAAATTATTAAACTGTCTCTACCCTTTGACCCAGAGATCTCACAGAAGAGCGTATACTGAAAGGAAGTCAAAGACAAAAATAAATGACTCACATATATCAAAATGTACATAGCAGCACTTTTGGTGGTAGCAAAGGATTGGGAACAACTGATTCCCCATCAGCTGGGGAATAGCTGAACAGATTGTGGTATATAAATGCAATGGAATATTGTTATGCTAACAAGAAAATGATAAATATGAGGAATTCATAGCAATATGGAAGGCCTTGTATTAATGGATGTAGAGTGAAGAAAGCAAAACCAGGAAAACAGTATACACAATGACTAAAGTAATGCAAATGAAAGCAATACTCAACGAAGTTGAATGAATGCTTTATAATCACAATAATCAATCTTATCCCTGGAGAAGAGGTAAGGAAACGTACTTCTTTCCTTTTGTTGAAGAGGAGAGGATCTATGGATATGGAATTTAGCACACACTGTCAGATACGGTTACTGTGTAGTTGATTTTGCTTAACTGTTTTTCACTGCCATAAGGGAAGGTTCACTATGAGTATGTATGAGAGAAGGGTATATTCAGAAATGACATCAATGAAAGAAAAAAATAAAAGAAAAAAATTCTGAAAACACAAAAGGAAAAAATTTCAATTCAGAGAAAAAGGAGTGGTCTAAATGGACAAAAGTGGATATTTAAGAAATTCATCAATCAACTTAAATAAAAATAATATATAGAAGATGGAAACAATGGCAGGTAATAGAGGATAAACACAAACATATGGGATGGTTCTCCAACAATTCAGATTAGTCATGCTGAAGTTATAATAAGCTGAGCCTGCAACAAATCAGCAGGATGACAAAAACGGTTTATGGTTTTTAAAAAGCTATACTGTGGAAAAGAATTCACTAAAGAAGGGATAGGACTACTATCTGGATGGATAAGTTCAGTGATAATAGATAATGAAAAGAAAACAGACTTTTTCTGAGGCAATACCATGTGGTGGATAGGGCATTGTACCCAGAGCTAGGAAGACTTGGGTTCTAATCTTACATCAGGCACTTATTAACTGGGCAATCCTGGATAAAACATTTAACTTTTCTGTGCCTTATTTTTGTCATCTGTCAAATTAGAGTGCTAGACTAAATGACTTCTAAGGTCCCTTCTAGTTCTGATTCTATGATCCTAAGACAAGTAGGGAGATAGCAAAAGAACACCATGATGAATTCACATAGATAATAAGAGAGCTACCTTTGATAAATTCAAGTTACCAGACCCTGATGAACTACATCCTAGGATGATTAAAAAAAGGTGGCAGACGTAATTGTGGAACCACCATTAGTAATCTTTGGGACTATGGACAATGAGAAAAACACACCACAGGAATGAATAAAGAGAAATATTGTCCCATTTTTTTTACAAAAAGGGAAGCAAATAGAGTCTTCAAACTAAAGGTTAATGAACTTGATTTCACATCCTGGCAAAATTCTAGAATTTGTTATTAAGGGATAATTAATAGACATGTGGGAAACAGTGATCACAAAGAGCCAGCATGGCTTCACTACAGACAAGACGCGCCAGACTAATCTCATTTCTTTTTTTTTTTTTTAATGTTTCCAAGAGTGGCAAATCAGGGGAAAGCTGCAGCCATAGTTTATCAAGATTTTAGCAAAGCAGTTGATATTCTCTCATGTTATTCTTGTGAAGAAGATGAAGAGAAGTGTGCTAGACAATAATACAATTAAGTGGAACTGGTTACATGGCTGGACCAAAAAGTAGTCTTTAATGGCTCAGTGTCAACTTGGAAAAAGGCCTAGAGCAGAGCACCATGTCTTTGTGCTTTTTAACATTTTTATCAATGACATGAATAAAGGCCTAGATAGTGTGCATAACAAATTTACAAGTGGCAAACAAAAAATCCAAGGGGGTAGCTAACACCTTAGATAACAAAGTCAGGTTCCAAAAATATTTTAACAGCCTACATTATGGGCTGAATCTAATTTGATGAAATGTAATACGGATAAATATAAAGTTTAACACATAGATTCAAAAAGTCAACTTCACAAGTGTAAGATTGGGGTAGGTGTCATCAAAGAGAAATTTGGCTTAAAAAAATTTCAAGGCTTTGGGGGACTGAAAGATCAATATGGCTCAAAGGCATAATAATATGACAGCCAAAAATGCTAATGTGATTTTAGACTACATTGAGGAAGGCATTGTGCCCAGAATTAAGGAGGTGATAGTTCCCTTATAGTCTGCCCTGGTCAGACCACATCTTGAATATGGTGTTCAATTCTAGATGCCACATTTTAGGAAAGACATTAATAACTGAAGAGCATCAAGTGAAGGGGAACCATCATGGAGAAAGGTCTTGAGATCAAGCCATACAAAGACTGGTTGAAAGAAATAGGGATGTTTAGCCTGGAGAAGAACTATTTGTTGGAAAGAGGGCACCTCACAGTTGTCTTCTAGTATTTAAAGGATTGTTATGTTGAATAGCAATTAGACTGGTTCTGCTTGACCCCAGAGCTCAGAACTTGGAGCAACAAATGGAAGTTGCAAAGAAGCAAATATAGCAAAAAATCTTCCTAACAATTTGAGCTGTGCAAAGTGGAGTTAGCTGCCCTGGGAAGTAGTAGCTTTTTTGTAACTTGAGATCTTCATGCAAAGGTTGGATGACCACTTGAGAGATGTGTTATAAAAGGGAACTTTTGTTCAGGCCAGGGTTGGAATAGAGGGTATCCGAGGTCTCTTCCAATTCTAATGATTCTGTGATTCTAAGAACTTGAATGATTATAGATAAACACTCCAAATAATTCTGGTGAAAAGATGAACTGGATAAAACAATATTTTTTTTTCTATTCTTCTGGTCCTACTTTTATGCCTCATCATAGTACAGAAGTGATCTTGGTTCTTGAATGTAATGACAATGGAGCACAAACTTTGCCAGATTCCACCAAGTTAGGAAGGCTTCTAATGCAGGCCCAGTATCACCTAAGGACCATTATAGCTAAAGTTGAGGGTTCATCATAAGGCTATCAGATGATAAATCTCTTTGGCCACTGCCACTCATAATGACTATCTATTAAGGCAAAGGGGCTTGTGATATGTATGAATATATGGAGTGGCCATCATGAAAGATTAACAATTCCTTGACATATTCACTGAGCATAGCCTATTTCTCTTTCTCTTCCTGACTATGTACAAACTAATGTGATTTTTCATTCTTCTTTGTGTACCAACTCAATTTTGTTATCAATAACATAATCCAATTATACATTGATGATAATAGTATTACGTAATTTGTGCTTCCTCTGTTGAATTTAAGAAAGGAATCTATCATCTCAACTTTTAAAAATCAATCCTAGTAATCAATAGAAACACTGTTTATAGTAGTAGCCAAATTATCATATAACTATATCATATATTTCATCATCATTAGACAAAGTAGAATGGACTCTACGTTGCAACTCCTTATAAAAGTATGCCTCTAAATATACTTAGCTGTAAAACTGAACTGAAATGGATGTTCCTTTGAATACTAAAAGGAAGAAAAGAAGTTTCAGTGTGCTGAATGGACATTTTATTAAGGGAACCAACCCAGAGAAGACAGGCCAGTGCTGTTTTTCTCACCGTATCCTTGCTGCTGTCCAGGGTAGCTCTGTTGGTTCGGGTATTGCTGCTGTGAATATGTCTGCTGTTGGGCAGCTCCCTGCTGATATCCGGCCTGCTGCTGGCTATACTGGGAATTTCCTAGAACAGGGAAGACAGAGCTCATTTGAGATGATGTTATTATCTAACTTTAGTTGCTAATCAATAACTGAGTCTTTAGAGTTTGTTACTTCAATAGACGATTTCTACACTGTTGTGTTTCAAATATATTTGAAAATTTGTTTCAAAGAAAAACAGCCCATAATGTTTGCTTCAAAGAGAGCCTAATTCCCAATCCAAACACTTCTAGTGCAAACTGCTCTAGTCTTTCAATGGCTAAAGGAGTGAAGACTGAAAACTCAGTTTGGGAGTAGAAGGTACAGGGAAAGAAGAGAAGATGGAATTAGTTTTTAGTTTTTTGGGGGTTTTTTTTGACGTTTGTAAAGTCAGGTTTCAAGAACTAAGGGCCTTTCAGATCCTAGGGAAGGTAGAACAAAAAATATTTCCTCCCTCTTGGCTAAGAGGTGGAAGATTACCAAGATAACATACTGTACCTATTGTCAGACAAGGCTTGTGTATCAGATGTTTTTGTTTAATGTTTTTCTTTGTCACAAGGGAGGGTTCACCCTGGAAAAGGGTGGGAAATAACTGTGATATAAAGACAAAAGGTATTAATAAAATGCACCTTAAAAAAAAAAAAGAAACTGAAGACCTAGAGCACAGACCAGTCATTGGACCAGGGGTTTAGAAACACTGGTCTAATGGATCTACTCATTTAGGAACATCTTTTCACTGGCAAGAAAGCTAGCACTCCTAGCAACTTATGCGTCTCAGCTACAACTGAATGGGAGGGCCCAGCACTGAGAAGATACAACCTAGGAAAAGGAGTCCAAAAGCCGATATATTCATATTTGATTGTAACTATGGCTATAATCACTCTGAAATGGTCATTGGGTGTTTAAAGTGAAGCTGACACAGAATTCTAGCCCTTTGGGTGCAATGATTTGCTTAACACATGCTCTTCAGTCTGTGAATGAAACAACCTTGCTCTGGAAATCTCTCTTAGAGACTCTGTAGGGTGCAGAGGAAAAATCTGGCTATGGAGTCAAAGGACCTGGGTTCAAATCTCATTTCAGTCACTTTCTACCTATGTAAGCATGGGCAAATTAACCTCCCTGGGTCTGTCTTCCTCCTCTCTAAAGTGAGTGCATTGAACTAGGTGGCCTGTGAAATACCTTCTAGTCCAATATCAATAATCCTATGAATCATATTCTTATGAAACTATTCTTAATCATATTTCATACAATGTGTCAGAATTCAAAAGGACCCCAGAATTTATGTAATTCCTTAATTTTATGGAGGAACAAGTAGGCTGAATTTGGAAACACTGGCACATACTAGTCAAAGTGGGTTTTTGAAATAGGGATTTTTACTACATTTTGGATATGAAGACAAAAGGAATTGGAAATTTGACCTGAATTTACTAATTACAAATACTAATAAAAATTCATGTTGCTATTTTTCTTCTCCTTTTCTTTCCCCTCTCATTAAAGCTTTAATCCTTACTTTTAAAAACTATCCAGTCTCATCTAGAATTCATTGTGAAAGCATCATTTTGGAAAAAACTGTCAAAGTCTACTCTTTGTGCTAGACAGGAAAAAGAATTTTTATTATGAAATGACTGCATTACCAAGCAATTATAGAAAAGTTAAAGAGTGATATTAGCAATTACTGTATTTTAAAGTACTTCAATAAATTCCTTCTAATATGAGTTTAAAGAGCTGCCATTTCGGATTTAGTTTGGTGGTTTAATTCCATTCAGTGATTTTCAAAACATCTTTATAAATAGGCTCTATTTGTCTATTTGAATCATTTTCTTTTGAGTAGAGCTTTGTTTAAAAAAAAAACATGCAAAGTACACATTGCTTTTAATTTGCAATTTGTTGAATCCTAAATCTGCATTAATTCCAGTTCTTATGAAGCACACAGTGGGGGCAGATGGAATCTAAGGAATTGTTTACTCATCTCCGGCACTGAAAATGCAAATAAACAGCATGGCCTGAAATGGATAGTTTTTCTAATCAAAAACTGTCCCAGAGGTAAGGAAATGGAGTCATGATTACAAAAATGCCAGGACACACCAGCTGGTGTCCAAAGAACAACCCTGTCATCCCTACATCTCCCATATTTGTTCACACTTTACAGATAACATTATTTTACTCATTACTCTTTGAAGGAAAAAATAAAGTCAAATTATTTGTTTCAATAAGACTTAGTAATCTTTTTTATTGAGACTACTTAAAAACTAGGGGGGAAATTCAATTTGCAATTACACAGAATAACAAAACAAATGGACGCTCTTAAATAAAAGTTGTATTCTTTATTTGATACATGAATAACCTAATTTAAGTCTTTCTAATTATTAAGCATCCTTAGAATTTTTCAGCAGCCATTAACTTCTGCTAATCTTTTCTGAAAAATACAACTCTGGTTCCAGCAATAGAGTGGCAAATGAAGGAAATGATTCTCAAAATTGCTTCATTTTAAACTTTCTTTTTTTGAGTCTGAGGCAAAATGAGTTTTCTTAAACATATTAAGGTGGATATTTCTGGGTACTTCGTATGCTTTGGTGTTGTACAGTATCATATTTATTCTTCATGCACTGATGACAAGCTATACATACTACCTAAGCAAACAGAAAATGATCTCATTTAGCTGGAGAAAATAAATAGCCCTTTGATATGGACAAAAAAAAAAGTGAGGTTTCAAAGCATAGGCATCCAAAAGTACAGTCACCCTGACTGACTCTTCAACAGCGATCAAGAATATTTCACACAACCAGCAGAACCGGACGACCAAAAAATGCACTTCTGTATCTCTCCACAGCTGTGCCATCAGTGACAGAACCTCTTCAACATCAGTAAAATCTGTGCTTCTAATGGGAAACTCATCAATGACCACTTTGTTGTTGCTGGTATTTGTGTAGGAATATGGCAACACAGTGTGGTGATCCAAGGAAATGTAACATTTGTTGTTACTTATGAAAATACTCATGCCTGATAAATCACGGTGTTCTCTTGAAAATTTTCTGCTCTACAGAACTGGCATAAAAACAACCAGAGTAGTTTTAAAGACAGAATGTAGTTAGAGAATGAACTAGAAATAGCAAAAACCTTTATCCAAATTAAAATTTGCTAAAGTAAGAAAATTTGAAAGGCAAATGAATAGCCACTGTTTCAGAAGGAAAACAAGCAGTTTGGTACAGTGTAAATAAGCATTGGATTTGGAGTGAGGAGGGACCCAGTTCCATACCACAGTTCTTATACTTACTAGCTGTGAGATCCTGGATCAATCCCTTAACCTCTCTGAGCTTCAATTCCTCTATCTATAAAATAGGGATAATGTTTGCACTACCTACTTCCCAAGGTCACTGTGAGGACAGTGCTTCATAATCTTTAAAAGCCATATTAACATGAATTATTATGACCCAAAAGATTTTAAAACCTCCCATGGCAGCCACAGGCATTATTCTGAATGTTCTGCTAAAGAAAAAAAAAAGACCAACCAATTACCATCTGGAAACATGCTGAGATACACACAGAAAATCAACCAAGTTTCAGATCTGTTCTAAATACATTGACCTTTTAGAATTTCCAGGTGTATTTCAATAATGTGAAAATTGCAACAAAAATTTTTTATTCCATCACATCATTGCCCACCTAAGTCCACTGGATTATTTAACTTCATGGGGAGAGGACTATGTCTTATTTATGTTTGAATTTCCCCTGATGCTCAGGAGAGCCCATGTCAGAAAGCAGGTGCTTAATAAGTGTCTGGTGAATAAATGAATGAAAGAATGAATACTGCTAAACCTTCTGGAAACCTTTGATTATTTACTTCATTCACATCAAGTCTTGACTCTGGACCCCCTCTAAATTTGAGTGCTCATATTGCAGTATTTAAAAGTACACTTGCAGAAGAGTATATTTGTTGTTTTGACTAAATTGTTAGATCTCCCTCCTCAATGTTTTTTGTTTGTTTTTTGTGAGTCTAGTCCCTATGATTTCTTTGGTATAGAAAACTCCCAGTAATGAACTCCCTTCTATGAATGCAGATTGGCAAATCCACTACAATTTAAAGTCAGAGAGCTGACTGGAGCACTGAGAGTAACTACTTCAGGTGCACATAGTCAACATGTATCAGAGGTGGAATTTGAACCCAGGTCTTCCTAACTTGGAAGCCACCTTTCCATCTACTATACAACACTGACTCAAATCTGACATCTGCTAATTGTGTGACTTTGAGTAAGTCACTTAATTTCCCTCAACCTGAGTTTGTCATCTGTAAAGTGTAAATAACACCTTGAAACAACAATAATAATAATTTTATATTTATGTATCCCTTACATTTGTGAAATGTGCACTTCTAAAAGAAATATTACTAAAAGGCTGAATTACAATACTAAAACTGGATCCTTGCATAATCTAAATGCTACCATTTTTCATTTCACATTTATTGTCTACAAATCGCAAGTCAATGCAAAGGGCCAAACCTCTTTTTATTTACTATTTGTTCTAAGATTCTTTACCTTCACTTTAAGGTTAATAGTTAAGTAAATGATGTTATTTTCATTAGACATAAAGTAAATGTGATGGCCTAATGAATAATCTATATATCAGGATTTCAGAAAGTATCCAAATCAATATAAAACTATGTAATGACTATCTACTGGACAGATATTTCCCTAAACTACAATATTATAATTTACCAAATTTTGTACAGTATTCCTCACTCTTTACTAACTTCTACAGGATTTAGAGCAATGATTCTCAAAAGATGTGCAACATACTAACATGCTATGAATTTCATTAAGGATGCCATGAAATTTTGGACTTTATGTTACTGCTGATAAAAGAAAATTTATAAATAACTTTATCTAACATAAACTTTATTCCCAAGCACAAATAGTTTAGATATCACTTTTCCTTGTGCTTAACACAGTGCCTGCCAATTAGTGAGCACTTACTATATGCATGTTGATTGATTACTGAATACAGCTATTACACATTTAAACATTTGTCAGCCCAAAAAAAGTCAATTAGTCTTCTCACCTCCTTCATAGTAATGCTGGGTAGAATCCTCAAATGACCTGTCATAGCTCTGTTCAGTGTAAGATGACTGCTGATATGCATAATCACCATGTCCTGAAACCAAAGGAGCACAGAGACAAACTTAAAGCTGTGAAACACCTTTATGATGTGTGTGGTCTTGGGGAACGTGGAATGAGGCATGCCTTGCATCACGTCCTGACAAATACCATTAGAAAGGCCGGCAACCCACAGGATCTGTCATAGGACTCATAACTACAAAGGTCCTCAGAGAACTTCTAGTTCAACTCCATCATTTTATAGAGGGGGAAACTGAGGCTAAGAAAAGCTAAATAAATTTGTCTAGATCATACAGTTAGTAAGCAGAAGAGTGAGGATTGTAAATACATTATAAATAAATCCCACTGTGGTATGGTTCCCATGGAACTAACTGTTCCATGGAACACCACTTTGCCTTAAACAAAGAAAAATTTCCTTCCTTTCTGCCTTCTCTCCTTTCTTCCTTTTCTTTCTTTTTCTCTTTCTTTCTTCCTTTCCTTTTCTCTTTCCTTTTTTTCATTAAGAAAAAAGTAGGCAAGATATAGCTATATGTTCTAATTTGGGGGTAAATGATCTGACCTATGATATATCTGAATCTGCCCACTGGTCTATTTATCATACCTTGAATATATCTTGTACTTTCCTGACTTCAAGTCTTTATTCATATTATTCCAGCCTCCTGAAATATTCTCTCAATGCCTTCAGTCCTCTATCCCCAGAATGGAAACTGGACCCACCTTCAAGGCCCAGATCAATTGTTTCCCCCTTAAAGCAGCATCTACCAATCCCCCCCGCCTCTATCTAATCATCTTTTGAACCCCTATAGAACTTTATTTTGTGCTACCAATCCAATAAAACTTTTTATTTACTTTATGTATATGTGTCTTATCTTACTAGCTAGGCTATAAACTCCTGAAATGCAAAGATTATGTTTAAATCTCATATATTATTATTACTACATATCTTTGCATATCTCTCTTACACATAGTAGCCATTCAATAAATGTTTACTGAATGAATGCAAAGATGGGCCTTGTTATAAGAAGGTTCTGGAATGTGGAATGTTCTCCCTCCTCAATTCTGCCTCATAGAATCCCTCAAGCATAACCTCCTACAAGAAGCCTTTCCTGATCCCCTCAAATGCTGATATCATCTCTCCCTAAACTAATTTGCATTTATTTTATATTTATTCTTTATATACTCATACATGTTTATGTTGCCACCCCCATCGAATGTGAGCTTCTTGAGAGCATGGACTGCTACAGTTTTGACTGTGTATCCCTAGGGCCTACCACAATGTCTAGCACTTAGTAGATATTCAATAAATTCATGTTAATTGATTGAGTGTACCACTTATAAAACAAGTTTTATGCAATAATAATTCTCCACATCCCTCTTCTGGCTGGGACTTCACAATTTAAGAGGGATGGGATGAGGAGAACATGTAGGTTAAGAGAAGCAGAACGGAATGGTTAGGAGTACAAAGAAGGCTCCAAGAATAAAAGACTTCAGATTATTTAGCCTAAAGAAGAGAAGACTAAAAGGTGACTTACTAGGAAGGAAAAGGACTTGAAAAAAATTATTGGACTCTTGTTAAATGCTGGCATAAGTTACCGAGTAAGGTTTTGCAATCTTCTGCCTTGGAGCTCTTTAACAACGAGATTTATACACATCTTTCAAGAATATGTATCCATGCTTGGAGATGGGATGGGTGAGACAAGTGACATCTTACACCTTCCAACCCTACATTTTGAGGATTCTATACAGTGCCTTGGATGAAAAAGAAAATTAAAAGCCCTCAGATAAAACCAAGGGTGAGGGTATAGCACCAATGGGTTCCATTTAAATTCTGTCACTTAGGTAGCTCACATTTCAAATCACAACAGAAATAGCTTAAGCTGATGAATTCGTTCTAATCTATACTATCAGATGCATAACGAAATGTCTAGCTCTTGATCAAAGGAGACCCAGGTCTGGTTTGCTGAATGGGCAGTCCTGTGGGTCAGAAATAAGATGTCACAGCAGAATCCTACATGAGGAAAAAAACAACAACAACAACAACAACAACCTGGAACAGCATCTGCCTTAAACAAACTAAAATGGCTTGAATGCTATAAGTCTCTCTGATTTTATAAGCATGCAGTAAATCATTCACATATTTTTTAAAATGAAGCAAGTTTTCAGTCCTTTCTCCCCCCATTCCCATGCCACAAGAAAGTTACCATCTGGATAATATTGCTGGTTCATTGGCTCAGAAGCGCCTTGACCGTGGCTGTATTGCTCACTGTAATACTCTTCTTGCCCCATATACTGCTGAGAAGAACCTGCAAAATCCAAGGAAAAGAGAATGTATTAAATTGCCTCTAAACCCAATAAAATGTCAACTAGTCATATATTTCCAAATACCACATATAGATATACATACATGTATAATACGTAATCTAGAAGAAGTGGATTTCAAGGACATTCTACACTATATAAAAGAAACACTGCTTTGATAAAAAAAAATACTAACAATAAGATAAGGTTGATATTTGTAGACATCACAGTAATGTGACAAAACATGAAGGTGAAATCTAAAATGATCATAATAACTAATATTCCTCAACCTGCCCCCATGAAGGACTATGTAAGTCTTACTTACACTTGTCTCAACAGAATACTTTATCTAGGAACACCCAATAACTCACCCAAATATTTAGCCATGCAGTTCTCAAAAACTCTCATTACTTCAACAATGAACTTGAATAACCAGCATTTTCTGCATTTCTCCTCTTGGTATTTTGTACTTTCAATTTATTTTCCAGGCTTTTCAGTTATCTCACTAGACCGAAGTACAGATGGACTCCGCTCTAACTGCTAATTACACAGAACTGTGAAATGGATTATGAGTGTCATTATTTTGCTAAAAATTAGATATGGAGAAATACAGAAATAAAGCATTGATATATCATTAGAATACTCAGCCCTCCTGACTTCTTCTATGTTCTTTCTTGCACAATCTACATTTCCTTTGCAGGACTGGGTGGACAAGGTATGGTCAGTGTGAAAAACTAAACTCTTTTCCTAACAACATCTTCAGATTTTACCTTGCTGTGAGGGCCGGTATGGACCCATTGGTCGCTGACCCATCATGCTGCTTCCTTGGTTGCTTTGACTCATCATTGCAATAGAGGACTGTCCTTGGTAATGCTGGCTCCCACCTTGTGCAGAATTGTAATGGGATGTTGCCGCTTGCTGGTGCATCATAGAGACTACATAACACATACATGAGCCTAAATGAGCCATCACTGTCATCTCCCTCCCATACCACACACATTCCTTAAAATCAAGACTACATCTGTTAGTTACAATGAATTCTTTCACTCTCTTCCTACTATTCCACACAAAAGACTATGAAATTTATTAATTTCCCCCCTCAATATCCAGATTAAATTTCCTGCATACTAACCTGAACCAATATCCTACTACATGGTCAGATCACCCATCTTTTTCAGTCAGCTATATTAAAACGTACCTACATTCAGAAAATAACAGAAAGCATGGTTGTAGCGGGATTACCAAAGGGGGTCTTACACTGCATACAGAAATGTCACTATTCTAGTTCCCATTGTCCAGGCATTGAAGCCTTTTAAGATACATCTTTCAAGTAAACCCACTCTTTTTCTTCCTTGCCCTACCTTATACGAAGGCCTAGATCTCATAAAAATTAAAACTGAGATGCTTTGACTGCTCACTGTAACTTTTCTGAAGAATTCTTAAGTGGATGGTATGTTATTTTATAAACATTTATCAGTATGGAATTTCTCTTCTGCACACAAAAAGAATGTTCATTGTCTCATGCTACATCCAGGTTAAGACACCAAGGAACTGTGTGTAGCCCAAAGTGAAGCAAGATGAAGAGGATGAGTTACCTGGATTAGACTGCATGTTGATATTGGTTCTAGATACATAATTCCCTATGGATCCTTGGCCCTGCATTGGCACATTTTGAGAGGCAGGCACAGTGTGGCTATACCCCGGCCCCGTGCCATGGCTGCTGACTGTCATACTCATAGAAGTTGTTGGCATTGTGTTTTGCCCAGATTGCTGCATGGACACATGGTTAGGACCTATTTCAAAGCGGAAAAAGCAATAACGAAAGTAATACAAATAATAATAATAATCAATACTTATACAGTGATTTGTAGTTAATGAAGTGTTTTTTGTAAACATCATCTAATTATAGCTTTGGGTGTCAGAGCATTTGCTTAAAGTAAAAAAAGAAACAAACTAACCTAATCACAACATAAAACATATATGAAAAAAAAGAAAGAAAAACATATATGACATATTATGGTTACAAAGTACATACATGATTTCATTTAAACTTCCTAAAAACCTTTTGAGATGGATTAAATATTATTTCCCCCATTTTAGAGATTGGGAAACTGAGGATCAATGAAGCAAACACACCTATCCAAGGTCACAGAGAAAGTGGTAGAGCCAAGGCTTCCTCTGTTTAGTGCTCTTCTACTCCATACTCAGTAGAACCCTAAAAAGGCACTAAACTAAATGTCTCAGAGAGGCCTAATGTGCATTCCATTCACAGGATTTGGTGCTAAATAAATACCCTAATCTCTAACTTACTTTGAGATTTATTCATACATCAACCTTTCAGACCCAAAGCAAAAATTATTTCCAGAAGTGACTCTCGGATTTCTAGTCACTCTTGAAAAATCATTTGCAAAGTACCTCTTTATTTATACAGGCCATTGTCTATTTTATTTTCCAGAATGCTTTGGATTAAATAATTCTCCATCTCTCCGTTCCTTCCCAACCTTCATGACTACCATTACCCCTTTGCCTTATCTACTTCTCACCCTCTATATTCTTTCACTTATTTCAGTCACATGTTTTCTGAGGAAGGTTTCACATTTTTCTAATTACAAACTTGCAGAGACAATTTTTAAAAGGTCCATTTCTCTGTTCTGTATTTCACTGGTCTGGTATAAACCTAGTCTCACGGGTTCATTTGGTGGAGGAGAGAATTTCCATGATTCTATTATCATCACCTCACTCTACTAAACACAAAAGCCAAATTCAGACAAATTCTACCACACAAATGAGCATATGATCAAGTGGGAAAAAGCTAAAATAAATAAGGAAGTTTCTAAAGATGCAAAAGAGACAAGGCACTGAACCTGTATGAAACTTAAACTCTCTTCCTCCCCTTCATCTCTTTATTAAAATTTTCCTAATAGGATTTTCCCCTAACCAAGTACTTAAATTACCTGCAGTGAAGGGAGGTCACTTCACTTACTGACATGGGAAACACTGCCAGGAGAAGTTGTGCCTGGGCATTAGGGCTTAATGTAAAAACTCCAGGTTATTTCTTTATGAACTTAGCAGCTTAATGCAGCTTTAGGAAAGTAATTAAATGCTTAGTTTAAACAATGTGAAATTAATTTTTAAAAACCAATCCAGAGATTTTCTAGAACAATTATAGGAAGGAGAAGAAGAGGGAAGAGGAAGAGTAGGGGGAGGAGGGGAGGGAGGAACAGGAGGAGGAAGAGAAGGAGGGAGAAGAGGAAGAAGAGGAAGAAGAAAAACAGAAGTACAACAATAAATGATCTGGAGTCTAAACTAGGCGCCAATCCTGATTTCCTACCTGTGACCTTAGTCCTCACAAGACCTGAATTTCCTCATTTGTAAAAAGGAAGGAGGTGTTCAAAGAGATAATTTATAAGGTCCCTTCCAGCTTTAAAGCCCACTATGACTCTATGTTGTCTTCAGATATCAGAGAGAAAGAGCTTTACTACACAAAGGTTCTGAATTAATGAGAAAATGTTAATACTGCTTGCAAGGAAATGAATTGTACTATCTTCAACTATTACCAAATGCTTCTCTATGTCATAGATGAGATTATTTTGTTCTTTACTAAAAGAATATACATCTTATATTTTGGAAAGGAACATATTCATGCCTTTTGAAGCAGTTGGAGAATTCAAGATGAATTAAGTTATTTAATCTATCAAACAGCTTTGCACCCACTCTTTGCCCATTAAATCCCAGATAAATGTGTGCCTATGGACAGTTAACTGTTTATATGTCCCCACATAAATATCTCTAATCTCTAAACTGTATTTAGTCTTTTGGAAGGCAGTTTCTAAACTGGTTTCTAAACTGTAAACAGGATTTTGTGACTATTTCAGCAAGTGATTGATAAATTCCCATAAACCTGAAAAGTGAGTTACATTGCCTAAAAAAACCTCCATCTTCCAAGTATACTTTGCATTAATGATTTTGTTGCCAAGCAACTATAAAAAAAAAAAGCACAAAAGGTTTTTTGAATGCCTACCATTGCTAATCTGACTCTGCATAAGAGAAGATGGTGGGAGGCCTGTTCCAATGGCATCACTGAGATTGCTCTGGGAATGGATAGATTGGTTGGATCCACTCTGAGGCATTCCTCCTGGCCCAAGATTCATGTTTTGTGTTGGTGGCTACAAACAATCAAATGGAGTCTAAGTTAATTATTTAGGAAGACATTATTAAACAAAAAATACATTATAGTGCCAGAAATAAGGCTTGTAACTACATTCGTTTTGATTTTTTAACCTCATAAATTTCTACCACACAGGATTAATTGTTGAATATATGTGTTCCAAACAAAGATAAATATGTGTGTATACATAGATATACATACACACACACACACACACACATATATATATATACATAATCTATTTAGTTTGGAGTTCCAATCTACCAGAGATTATATAAAAATAATACATTTAACATTAAATATGCAGAAACTATATCATACATAGAAAATTCTAAACCATGTATCAAGTTTATAAACATTTTGATACTTTAACATCTACAAAAAAGATGTTGCATTCAAGTCACAGTTTTTTTCTATCCAAATATATGTGCAATGCACATGTGACCATATTTCAGTACTTTAAAAAATCCAGAACTTAATCCATGCTGTTACTCCTTCTTTTACCAACAAAGATCTCAGGCCATCAGAAGACATTTTTCATGCCCTCCTCTCCCCCATTCATAACCTGGTGGCCAACCTCGTAGTGATGAAGGAAACAGATTTTTAAGAACAAATTAGCATCAACAACAAAAAACAACATCATCGACAACAACAGCAGTAGGATAGTGACTTGTCCCAGGACTGTTTCCCTCTGAACTCAAAAAAAAAAAAAGATGAGAAGATATTTTATTATTATTCTCATTATTATTAATAACTTATATAACATAATTACATATTATTATAGCAACTATCAGGGCATCTAGGTGGTGTAGTGAATAGAGCACTGGGCTTGGAATCAGGAAGACTCATCTTCATGAGTTCAAATCTGGCTTCAGACACTTAACTAGTCGTGTGACCTGGGCAAGTCACTTAACCCTGGTTTGCCTTAGTTTCCTCATCTGTAAAAGAGCTGGAGAAGGAAATGGAAAATATTACAGTATTTTTGCCAAGAAAATCCTAAATGGGGTCCTGAAGAGTTGGGCAAGACTCTTGAAATGGCTATTAAACTATCATATACTGTTACACTATTGACTGTCAAGCCTATATTGGTGTTGTGTTATAATAATTTGTAATTAGTGTGTAATTATATTCATCATAAACCTCCACTAAGGTCCTAGTCTCATGGCTTCTTGTAGAATACAGAGGATCTCAGGTTCTAGCAATGCCAGGAAAGCAGTATAAGTTTGTAGCACGTAATCCTCAGTGAAAGTCTTTGACTATATCTCAGTGATAAGCAACTGTATGCTTATTGTCCAAGGGCTAGTCATGCTAAACTTGGATGATGCTTATCACCGAGTTGATTGAGGGTTAGAAATTTGTTGCTCACTGTACTCTCAAAAAACATTTCTAAGTTATAGAGGGGCTGTGAGTTGTATCAGTAAAGGGAGTACCCACACTGATGAAATCACAAATCTTTTAAGTATATGTATGACCATAATATTTCATCATCATCATTAATAAGTTCTTTGTGGGCAAATGCCACATCTTATTTACCTTTCTTTCTTAGTACCTAGCATCGTACTGGTATATGTTGTTATTTTAGTCATTTTCAAGTAGTATCAGACTTTTTGTGACCCCATTTGGGGTTTTCTTGGCAAAGATAGTAGGGTAGTTTGCCATTTCCTTCTCCAGTTCATTTTTAGAAATGAGGAAACTAAGGCAAATAGGGTTGAGTAACTTACCCAGGGTTACACAGCTAGTAAGTGTCTGAGGCCAGAATTGAACTCACCAAGATGAGTCTTCCTGACATCAGGCCTGGCACTCTAGCCACTGGGCCACCTAGTTGCCTGTGCTTGTACATAACAGCTTTAATAAATGTTATAGAATTAATGAATGAATAAGCCAATTTAGAAAGAGTTCAACATCTTTTTGTACATATTATTTTAAATACTGAAAGAGAGTAACTGGATTTCAATTTCTGCAACTGAGAATGATGTGAAAAAACTGGCACTTTTTATAACATGGGGACTGATCCTCTATATTAGTCATTTGCGTCAATCAACCAGACAATAAAAACTTTACAGACTTAAGTTGCTTTAGGCAGTGGTAGAAATGATCTTACAATGGAGACTTAAATAAGACCAGTATCAAATCTTTTGCACTCACCATCTAGGTTTACAGCAGCTCTCTCATTCTCTTTCTTATTCTTTAATTGCCCCACATCTAACACTAATCATACAGGAAGGTTTAAATCAAAAATGAAATTTTTAAAATGTTACTGTAAAAAAGGACTCAAAGAACCTCAGACTTAAACATCACCAAGGTGGGGTTTAAAAATCCAAAGAGCTTTAGTCATTTTGATTTGTAAAATATACACAGGAATCATATAACTAACTTCCTGACTTTTGAGATGAAGGAATTCTGGAGAGCATGAGGAACCAGGCTTGTTTTCCCAAATGGAGCAGCAAAAACAACGTCACATTTCAAAGTCCTTTAAAGTTTATGACACACTTTCTTTCTTCACAACAACCCAATGAAGTAGTTAGTACAGGTATTATTATCCCTATTTTATAAATGAGGAAACTGAGGCTCAAAGAGGTTATCTGACTTAGCCATGATAATTTCATTCCTATCACAATTTTGATACAAATTTTCTGACCTCAAAGTCCAGCAGGTTTTCATTTTGCATATTACCTCTCCATTCTCTCAAAGGAAGCCATTACAATGGAATCATATTATCTAACACAGAGTGGAAGACAAAATAAGGAGAGGTCTTCTAGAAGCAAATTTTGAATTCTCAAAGGATAAAGTTACAGTGCTTACATAAACTGCTGTCCCAAAGTATGGGAATTGGTGAAGGCAAAGTCTAAGTCATACTTTTATATGTCCCCAGCCCTTTGGGCTACCATGATCAGCTCCATACCAAGATGAGTCAGTGTAAGACCTTTGAAGATGAGGAGATAGGGACAAGAATTGCAAAGGATGCAAAGGTATTAATGAGTTGTGATCAGCACTGGAGGGAGCACCCACACTCATGAGACCAGGGATCCAGTGAGGTACTGGAAAGAATCAAATCCTTCCTCCACTGGGCATCCTAGATTCTACTGGATAGAAATACTTACGGCAGGAAGCAAAGACTGCATGTTCTGGTTAGAGTCTGCTATTGTTGCCAAGTAAACCAAATTTCTGTGTAGTATTTGTTGGTATCTATGGGATAAAGAAATAAAATTATTCAGGGTTTGGAGACCAATATTAAATGTTCTTATATAAATCAGTGTGGGCTTGATATAATTGATATCTTAATGATATTACATGAATATCAATCAACCAACAAGTATTTATTAAGTGCCTCCTACGTACCAATAAATAAAGTAAAAAGTAACATAAATAAATAACCTGACTCTTTCATTAAAGTCCCTTGGTTCCAGTAACCAGTAAGGCAGAATCTAAATGCCACCCTACTCAGGAAGGCATCAGATCACCACAACTCAGTTTGTACATTTTTGTTATACATCTGAAATGGCGACATTCAACAGAAAGTATACTCCATACTGAAGTAATAAGCTCTCTCATGCCAAAAGTGGAAAACAATAAATATGATGCCATAAGGACTCAGAAAGAAATCCTAGCTCATGTCATAGTAAAAAATGCCAACCTTTCCTTAGAAAGTAATCAGGTATAGGATTCTCTTTTAATGAGGAAAAGGTTCCTTTGGGAGACCACAAATGTAATTGCAGCAATTCAACTGAAAGAAAAGTGTGAATGTGCAGAGTAACTCAATCCTATTTATCAAATTCTATTAACTTTTCTTAACCTTATGTTCTTGATGAACTTCAGAATGGCCCAAAACAAAATCTGGGAAGATAGCTGGGCTTTATATTCAAAGAGTCAGAATGTGCAGTTCTTAATATCCAAGGAGCAGACTGTAATAAATGCCTATACCTTGACCAATAGCAGCCCAGATGGCTAGCTCGGAAGTAACCTTCCAGACTTTGAATAAAAATTACTAAGGTCAAGCTAAACCCTTGGTACATCCACTATCCCATCCAGGTCTAGTAAGTTACTAGCTTCATGACTTTGGGCAAGTCACCTAAATCTCTATGAGACTCAGTTTCTTGATGTGTAAAATAGAAAAATACCTACAGTCCCTCCTTTGCAGGATTGTTGTAAGGATTAAAGAGATAATGTATGTAGTGTGGTGTGCAAATATCTATTATTAGCATTATTATCATCACTATTCATTCATTTTCTACTCCTAAGGAAATTTTATTCAAAAATAAGAAAGAACATTTTATCTTCATCATTATGGAATTTTTTTTGTTATTTTTATTATTTTCTGTGAATATATGTCAAGAAGTGTCCTTTAAACTCACAATGGAAAATGCTATCCACATTCAGAAAAAGAACTATGGAGTCTGCATGTAGATCAAAGCATATTATTTGCTCTCTCTCTTTTTTTCTCTTTTTTTGTTTGTTTCTTCTTTCTCGTGGTATCTCTTATTGGTTCTAATTCTTCTTTACAATATGACTAATGTGAAAATAGGTTCAATATGAATGTATATGTAGAGCCTATATCAATTTACATGCCATCTTAGGGTGGAGGGAAGGGAGAGATGGGGAGAAAATTTAGAACTCAAAATCTTACGGAAGTGAATGTTAAGATAAATTAATTTTTTAAAATGTCCTTTAAGTTGACTTCTCACTATTGTAACCCTTAATTGTAGTAATTATTGTTATTTAACATTTCACTTTATGGCTTACAAAGTACATCACAGTAGTATATTACAAAGTTCATCACAGTAACCCTATGAAGTTAGTTGTATAGGGATTATGGTCTCCATTCTATAAAAGTGGAAACTGAGGCTCAAAGAGGCTAAGTAATCTGCCTAGTGTAATAGAGCTAGAACTCGAGTCCTCTTATTCCAAATCCAGTTGCTCCTTCCAAAACACCATATAATTCCTAATCCTAGCATCCAGTTTCTACACTGAAAACAATCAGCAAGCAAAATGTGAACTTAGGGGGACCTAAGAATAACATGGCACAAAAAAGGTTCTACAAAAACTAAGTAACAAGTTTGATACAAAACCTATTATTTATTATTTGCCATACTAGACATTCACACAGTAGGATGTGTAGAGAACATTCACTTTTATATTAATTTAAGTGTAGGAAAATTTTTTTTATAGAAACTATTTGTAGCAGTATAGCCTTAAGAGCTGGGAAGGTCTTTAGAGATCATTTAGTCTAATCTCTTTATTTTAGAAATGAGGCCCATAAGGGTTAAGTGACTAGCCTAAGTTCACATAAGAAGTAGTAAAAAGCAGAGGTAGGATTTGAACCCAGAGTCTCTTATTCCAAGTCTAGTGCTCATTCTACTAGGCCATGCTACCCAAAATTTAATAAAAAATTTTTATATGATAGTCAAAGAATCTATTCCATGGTCATTTTTAATTTGTATTGAATGGTACCATTTCCAGGAGAAAACAGGAAGTATATGTTAATAGCCAAATTATATAAAGCCTTGTTAATTGGCAAACACACTCTGCCACATACATGTTTCTTTTACCACTAAAAAAAAAAAAAAGCAGCACTGGAAGACAAGAATAACAGTCCTTCAGCACTATTACTTACTGAGTGCATTCTGCAGTCTTGCCCTTACTCTGGTAGTCCATAATACACTGAATTAGGTGATGGTTTTCATCTAGCATCTGGATAAAAAAATAAACAAGGTTAAAACACTCATAAAAATTTCTTTGCAAGGTTCCAATCCTAGAACATCTGGATTTTTGTTTAGGATGTCTTAACATTGTGCAAGTTCATTCATTCATTTCACAAATATTTATTGAAGGCCTGCTATATTCATGGCATGCAATATGCATGGCACTACATTAGGCACAAAAGGAAAGACAACAATAATAGAAAACATAGTCTCTGCCCTTAAGGAGTTTGAAATTTACTTGGAAAGAAAAGACAGATCATCTAGAGAACAAATACAAATACTATTAAAATTGAAATTTTAATTTAATATTAAATATTTGAAATCTTTAGCACCACCAGGTATTATTGATATATCATCTTGGTATCCTGAGTAACAACAGTTGCTAGGAAGTGGGTTTTTTTTTTAAATTTTATTCTAGTGAGGCAATCGGGGTTAAGTGACTTGCCCAAGGTCACACAGCTAGTATGTGTCAAGTGTTTGGTCTGAGGCCGGATTTGAACTCAGGTCCTCCTGACTTCAGGGCTGGTGCTCTATCCACTGTGCCACCTGGCTGCCCCTATAAGGTGGTTTTTGAGAAAGGTTTTGAAGGAAGCACTGAATTTGGATTAGTCTAGAGAAGGGAGGAGGGATGGGCATTTCTGGTACCATCAAAAGTAGGCCTGATGTTTCAAGACAATGTACAGTGCCAGAGAGATCGAAATGGCTATACAGGAAGACATTTTCCTGAAATATAATTTGTTACAATATGAACAAAGCACTCAAGTTATAATTTATTTCTTATTATTTGCAGTACCAGAAACTCCAAATAAAAATGAAGGATTAAGACATGTTCTAATAATCTACAAGACTATAATGTAGGCTGAAGAACACGTGCTATGGGGAGGTCAATCAGTGTCATATGGGAAACCCTTATGGGGTTTCTAATCAAAATTATTTGATAAAATCTTTATAGGAGTCATGGAGGCCATATTTATAATATGTTAATTATTAACATTAATGTTTCCATTTTGGTGCCTTGTATATAGTAGGTGCTCAATAATTGTTGAATTGAGAACAAATAAACATTTTTTTATTCACAGAATTTCATATTAGGGGAAAAAGTGACAGCTTTCTTCACTTCAAATCTTAAAGTACCCTAAAACAAAATATGCCCAGTCTGAGAGCTGAAATATCATTACTATGAGGAAGTCCAGCTAAGCAGACAACAGGAACATGACATACATTGCATATCATCAAAAGGAGTAAAATGAAGATATATATCTTAATTTACAAGAATGAATTTTTTATTTTATTTTTCAAACTAAAAGCATTTTTTTCTCCTTTACTTCAATTTTAAAAGGGCTTTTTAACAAATATATATGTTGTCAAGCAAAACAAATTCCCAAATTGGCCACATCCAAAAATATGTGGCTTATTCTGTAATCTGAGTCCAACACATTTCTGTAAGCAAGAAGGTAGCATATTTCATCATCAATCCTCTGGAATCATGGATGCTCATTGCATTGATCAAAGATCTTACAATTTTTCACGTTTGTCTTTACAAGACATTTTTTAAAAAAATAATTGCTATCTTTTTATATTTTCTGCATTTACCACTATTTAGCCAGTCCTCAATTAGTTGGCATCTATTCTGTTTCTAATTACAAGAATGAATTCTTAATTGCCAATTTTAAATAGTTCATTAATAGCTGTATATCCTTTTTTTTTCTAAGAGCTTTCATTTCTGTGAAAGAAATGCTGTTTGATTTCATTTAGGTGACAGCTCCCAAATTAACTTAATTTAATTCAATTGAGGTGATGGCTAAATTTTAGACAATTTTAAAAGTATAAGACACTACAACTTCACTTAAAGTTCCACTAAAAATTGTAGACACTTTTTGAATTTTTCACTCCCTTCTCACCTACCTGCAATCTGGCTTCTGACCTTATCACTCAAGTGAAACTGCTTTCCCTAAGGTTACCAAGAATCTCTTAACTGCAAAATCCAATAATCTTTTCTTCTTTTTCATCCTTCTTGACCTGTCTATAGTATCTGAAACTGTTAACCACTCCCTTCTACAAAACATTTTCCCCTCTCTGAGTTTTCATGGCACTGTTCTCTCCTAGTTCTTCTCCTACCTCTGTGCCTATCCCTTCTTAGTCTTCCTTGCTAGATGATCGATCCTTTAGGTTCCACCCTCACTCTGGCTGTGTCTAGGTATTATGCTTGGCACTAGGAATATGAAGACAAAAATGAAACCATCCTTGCTTTTCTCTTCTCTTTCTATATTTTCTCTCATCATGATTATCACTCATTTCCCATTGGTTTGACTATCATCTCTATGCAAATGATCTCATATTTACAGCTGGAAAGGACCTAAGAAGCCATCTAATCCAGCTCCCTCATTTTAAAGATGAGGAAACTGAAGCTCTGAAAGCAATTTATGCAGGGCCACCGAGATAGGATCAGAGATGAACACAAGTCCTCTGACTCCAGAGTCAGTGCTCCACTGTACCACGGAGACTCCCAGACCTCTATATCCAGCCCTTGTTTCTCTCTTAAACTGCAGTCCTGCAACACAAATCGCCATTAGACTTTCCTGCCTGTATGTCCCACATTGCATCTCAAACTCAGTATGTCCAAAATAGAACTATTTTTCTTTTCACCAGAGCCCTGCTTCCTGACTTGCCTATTTCTGTTTAAGATGCTACCATATTTCTAGTCGCCCAAGTTCACCATTTCACAACCCATTCTTCTTCATTTCTCATATCCAATCAGCTGGTAAGTCTTATCCCCTCTACCTCAACAACATTCATTTCACTCATCTCCTCTTTCCACTCACACAGCCACCACCTTAGCTCAGGACAACATTATCATTTGCCTAAACTATTGCAATAGCCTCCTAACTGATTTCCCTGTCTCAAGACTCTCCCCCTCTCCAACTCATCCTCCATTTAGTTGTCTAAATGATAGTCTTAAAACACGTATCTGTTCACGTCACTCTCCCTACTCAATGAGTTCCAGTGACTGTATGGCCTCCAGGATCAAATATAAACTCCTCTGTTTGGCTTTGAAGGCCCTTCACAAGCCTATGTAGTACTTTCCTTCCCAAACTATGTTCTAAGCCAGACTGAAGTCCCTGCTGTTCTCTGTATATTCTACGTCCATTGCCTTTGCCCCAGCTATTCCCCATTCTTAGAACACATTTCCTCCTCCTCTCATAAAATTCTTCCTGCAGGAAGACTATCCTGATATCCAGCTGCTATTTTGTGTCTTCTTTGTATATATTTTGCCTATTTCAGTATTCATAGGGAACAAGCTAGGAAGACACCAATTTCTGAAAGTATATTATGGGCTCTGGGGCACAGAGTAGACCAATTAGGCTGGCCTATAGAATGCATGAAGGAGAAGAATATGAGATTTTTGTTTTCAGAATTGCAGAGTTTTCAGAGCTGTTTTTTTGTTTTGTTTTTTAAGATATAAACAACTCCTGATGTGGAAACTCCCTCTACTAATGCAGATGGACAATTTGTCTGTAACTTATAGTGTTAGAGATTTGCCTGGTGGTACTGAGAAGTTAAGTGACATTTCTACAGTCACACAAAACATCAGAAGAAGGACTTGAACCCTGTTTTTCCTCTAAGGACTGAACCTCTACCCACTACACCATGCTGCTTCTCAATATGAGATATGGCTGTCTTACCATTTTATCACAATATAAGACAAAGGAAGAGTGCCTCAAGTTTATGGAGGTGCTTGAATGCCAGAGAAAGGAAACCAGGGAAATTTTTTGAATGTAATATTGGCATGAGCATCCATATCTCTGAAAAAATTAGATTAATTTGGAAGCAATATAAAAAATAGGTTGGAGTAGAGAATGTTTTAATCACATTTTAAGCTAGTATTTAAATCTCTGAATTGAGGCCAAAATAGAGCCAAACAAATGTTTTACAAATCCAAAAGCTCTCTTTCAACGTAAGCACTTCTTTTCTTAACTTTTATATAATTGCAAACATCCTGCTGTGTAATTGTTCCAAAAGGTGGTCCTGCTTCAAGGTTGGGGTAAGCCACTAGAGGGAGCTACTGTATCTACTCTTAAGAGTGGCCTGTTGGAAGCTCAACAAGGATATCAACTCCCCACCACAATGAAGAACAAAACAAAACTTCCACAGAAACTCGAATTTTCAGGGGCTTTCCCAAGATCAAGTGAAAGTAAGGAAAAATAAAAACGACCTCTGAAACCATTTCTTTACTGCACTCTGGCATTCCAGTAAGATGTGCAAGTCCAATAAGTACCAATAGAGGCTGTATGTTTTTGGGAGGTGGTGGTAGCGGTGTCCAGATCTGTGATTTTATCATTGTGGGGAACTCTCTAGTGTGGAAACTGTCCACTTATGCAAATCACCAACTAACTCATCTGGAATTTACAATCCTTAGCAGCTGCCTATGGAACTTATGGGTTACATGACTTGCCCTTGATCACAAAGCTAATATATGTCAGAGGCCTCAGAACATGAACCCAAGTATTCTTGGCTCTAAGAGGGCCCAATATGCTACAAAGCCTGAAGAAATAATAATATATGTCTCTGTAAATAAATTTACATTTACTCACATTTTAAATGTTTTAATTATAATATCATTAAATTTCCCTTCGTTCAAAAATACAAATTCACTTTATTTTTAAAACTTGCATTTCATGCTAAGCTTGAGACGATCAATCAGCATGCACTTATTGAACAACTATTATATGCCAGACATTGTGTTCACCTCTGGGGACACAATGATCACCTCAAAGGGTCTTCCATGGGGTGAGGGTAGGAGGATGATACATATACATAGAAGTAAGTGTATATAAAATAATTGGGTGGAGAAACAGGAGAAGCTGTGGTGGGAGGTTTGTCATGAAAGGATTCGTGGAGAAGGTGATACATGATGCAGAGGTGTGGAAGGAGTGAATCCCAGACAATAAAGGAAACAGAGACAGAAGATGGAATTGTATACACAAGGAG